GCGGACAAAACAGTACCACGGCCCCCCCCCCCAAAAAAAAACAATTTAGGAATATTTAAATGTAAAAAATAAAAATAAAAATCCTACATCATTGTTAAATAATTGTATATGACTTTTTGTTTTCACCGTGCGATGTAAAATAAAACGACACCGAATAATAATGTCAAATATGAAACGCATCATCACTTCATCATTCGCCATTTCCTCTCCACTTATAAGCCTTCAATGGCGTCCGGACAAAAGCTCGAGTAAAAGAAAACTTTAATGTTCAAGTACTCCCCCCCCCCTCTCAAGAATGACCACAGAATTAATTATTTACATCATCATCATTATTATTATTATTTTCCATATATGGAAAATCATTATGTGTGTATAGGCGCATAAATAAATATATATATATCCGTTATAAGAGATCCAGAAATGCATGTCCAATGTCCATTAAAAGGACATACGTGAATTCCAGCCATATCCACTATAGGTCCATTATTTTTTCATGGCATAATATCTTGAAAATCTTCCATTTGATGAGAATTTTACGTTTTTTTTTTCATATATATATATATGTATAAAATAATTCAAGCTTGAAAACCGTCGTTCAACCCAAATATATATATATATATATATATATATATATACGTTTGTTTTATGTGTTTTAAAACTTTAAACTATATATTTGATTGAAATATTAAACATATGTAAATGTGTATCTCTAATAACATTTTCTGCTTAAATTTGGATGTGAAGAAGAGAATCCGGACTGAGAGCAACTTGACAGAGTGACAAAGGAAGAGGATGAAAATCTCCATTTTGCAGGCCGGAAAAAAAAAGAAATAAAGTATATCGTGGATAGAAAATGATATTATATTAAATAATTTAAAAAACACGAAAAGATTATAAAAAATAAAATAAAAGAGCATAATATAAGGAAACGTCACTTTCCTACTCACACAGACTGCCTCTCCGAGACCAAAGCCCCAAAAATTCCGTAGGTACTGGTCTTTTTCACTTTTCTCCCTCTATTACAGTATTAAATCTTGTATTTATAATTATAATGTATCATTTTGTGTCCTATTATTTTAACAATTAAAATTTTAAAATGATAACGCTTACGGAGATGTACGAATTAAAATAAAAACATAAGACGTTAGGAATATGAGTCGGTAAAATATTGCTGACAGAATTATTAAGAAATATAAATACTAGAATATTATAAAGTCATAACAATTTTAGTGTAGAATTAATAGATTCATGTTATATACACAATAAATTTTAAATATAAGAAAAAACACGCCCAAGGTTACAGGTATGAGGGTGAAACAAGTGTGTAGACATAACCATACATATATATATATATATCATTCATAAAAATATTATTAATATATTGTGTTTTAATATTATGTAATAATAATAGGATTTTATTTAATTAATTATAAAAAAACTTTGTGCGGGTTCAAGATTCGTTTCAGGACAAGTCTGACAATGTTTTTTGGAATTGGGTCAACTCTCACCTTCTTTTTTGATTTTGTCTTTGAGCAGATTTGTTGACCTTTTTTCCCGTGATTCATTTGCTAATTTCGATGTTCCTTTTTTAAAATTAAGCAACACACACACACATATATATATAAATAAAATTCGATATTACCGAGAGAATATCCAAAATATATATATATATTCATAAATGGGCCAACATCGTCGGCTTATGGTTGAGCCCCCCCAGCCTTCACAGCGACACCTCGTTTTAGTTCTTTATGCCTTCTGTGCACTCAGTGGGCTCCACATCGCATCGTTTGGACTTTGGAGGCTTCGCAAACGAGCAAGAGAGAACGTGCATCCGTTCTGCAGATGACGGCTGTAACTTCTTGTCGTTTTTTCTATGCCTCAAACCACGTCCATTTCTCCCCACGGGCTCCGTACTAATACGATGTTTGGTTTTGAGCCTGGGCACGGCCCATTGTTTTTTTACATTTAAAAAAAAAAAAAAGTTAAAACGCCGTTGCCGGGGATCGAACCCGGGTCACCCGCGTGACAGGCGGGAATACTCACCACTATACTACAACGACTTGTTTGAGATAGGAGTAAGTTTGTTTTAGCAAACAATTTCCGGTGAATTTATTGAACAAAATGAAAATAAATCTTTCGTCTTCCCCTGTGGAATCATTATACCCTGAAGAAGTTTTAATAGCCCTAAGAAAGTACATTTTTTGTTGAGGGGAAATGCAAATACAACAGACCAAAAAAAACACGGAGAAAGTAAACGTTTTTACTTGTTCGAAGAAACCAGTTCAAAAAACCAAACAAGTAAAACACGCAGCTTGATGAGTCCTGGCACCACTTCAGATGCGTACATTTCCCTTCACACCCATTGCAAAACCAGCTTCAGCTCTGTCTTCCCAGAATCTCCTTATTACCCAATTGCTTTTGGCTTTCGTACCAAACAGATTTCTCGGGTTACATGTCGTCTGACAAGGAGGAGGAAATGACAGAGGAGAAAGCCCGGTTTCAAAGCCGTTGATGATGTCTTACGCACAAAAGAATGCGTCGAATTTCATTTGAGGATATGGAAGAAGCAAACAAATGGGGAAACTAACCTTGTTGAGGATCTTCGTGTACAAAGAAACTGGCTGAGACTATCAAATAACAAAGAATAAGCATCAACCCTTTGAAGTAATTCGATGTCCCTTCCTGCACAGAGATAGCAACAATGGGTTTAGATTGACTACTCGGGGTTTGGGACAATGTCTGTTTATACATTCATACTAGCTTTCGGATTTTACCCACCTGGAGGAAGAAAGCTACAACTATCACAGTTATGAACAGTGTAGCCGTCTCGAAGAGCTGGAAGTTTAGGTCCATTGGTTGACCCATCATCCATCCGATCACCACACAGAACGGAACCTAATCCAACCATGCATGCAAAGAAAGATTTTCAGACAAACCCATCAGCCAAAGACACTAAAATATGTCATAACTCGTCTGATACATACTGCAAACATGGAGATCTGAATCGAGGATCCTATAGCCACTCCCAATGATAGATCCTGTGTAGGAGAGAAAAATACAACTTTGTATCGAGGAGAAGTTAAGAGTAAAGAGAACCGAAAAGGTGCTACTACAATGGGAACTTGTCTGGCCTACCAGCTTGTCTTTCATCGCAAACATAATGGCGCCTGCATGCTCAGCAGCATTCCCGACAATAGGAAGCAAGATGACGCTAATAAAGGCAATCGGGATCTTCCATGACACTGAAGCACCCTTCACATAAATTTTCAGTGCAAAAAAAGGAATCCATGAGTGAAACTGAAATACAAAGTTTACAAGAACTAATGCCTTAGTCTATTGCAGTAAACTGATGAGACAGGAAATAAATTAATCAGGTCAAGTGAACTCTAGCAAGGAAATATGAACTTCTCTATGGTTTAAAAGTACTAAACCACATTGGTATGTACCTCAATTGCATCGACAAGATAGCCGGAGAGAAGAGAGACCCAAGCTGTCAAGATTGAGAGCCAAATGATAGATTCCCATTTGGAGATCTCGGGTTCTTCCTCTACGTCTGAAGTCTCTTCATTATGATTTGTTTCCTGGGTAGCGTTCCGAAAACAACAAAGATTAATCCAGGGAGAAGAGAGTGACAGCAACCGGAATTGCTATAACAGGCGTTAGTTAAAAAAAGAAAAGATAATGGTAGTTAAAAATGATAAGTATCTCTAATTTGATTTACCATTATTTGTTCTCCTTATTGGTTATATTATTTACCCTCGTAGTTTCTTTTCATTATAAAAAAACGTTTTACTCTTCTTAAACTCTGTCAGCTTTAGCTGCAACCATAGAAAATTAATTTAACCGGCATGAACCCGAAAAGACCAAAAGTGAAAAAGAACAAACCTCGGGGAGAGGGGTATAAGAGCCCGGTTGGCTCTTTAACTGGAAAAAGAGGTAGTGAACCTCGAGAGAGCAAGCTCTGATGATCCAGCATGAACCTCGCTGTGTGTGTAGTGAAGAACTGCTGGGAAGAGTAGCCCCATGACGGCCATCAACAGCAATCCCGAATTCACAACTGCATTCCTCTGCAGTGCAGAAGAAGAAGCTCAGAAACAAGATGGAGAATCACAGAATGGGAGGAAAAAAAAAGTAAAAAGTGATAAGCCTACTTTATCGAAGACTTGCTCTTTCCTGTAAAAGACAAGCCCGCCGCAGAAGAAGGCACATCCAAGTACGAGCAACATATTAGATAGAATTGAACCCAGCAAGGTCAACTGTACAACCCGTATCATTCTGTTTTTCAGAGCGAAAATTGATATGATCAGCTCCGTCACATTCCCAAATGTAGCGTTTAGGAGGCCTCCGACTGTGGATTTCATCATAAAACACGTCAAAAGTTTCATGAGGGAAAGAAATTGCTCGGGGAAACAATAGAGTCTCAGAAGAACTCAAATCATACCAGTTGGACCTGTGTAACAAGCCAATTGCCTGTTCCAAAGAAATAAATACTTGAAAACATTACTCCCCATCAATAGAACAAACACACATACTTTTACGCTAAAAACTCAAGCAAATGCTTACTCGGTAGCATATCCTAGACGTTCAGCCAATGGTGTAATCCCTATTAAGCTCAGAAGAAAGACCCAACTCTGAAAGCCACAAACAATAATCGTTCCTCAAGATTTAACCAAAAAAAGGAAAAAAAAAAAGAAAAAAAGGAAAACTGTTATCATCAGTTAATTCCACACACTACAAGAGCTCACCTTATTCCCCGTGAGATTGTGTACCAGTATCGCTATAGGACCGAAAGGTAACAATAAATTGATTTTATTTGAGAAAATCACTATTTTGATGCTCTCGAGCACACTGTTCTTCGGCCCTTTAGCAGTGTGCTGTGAAAAACTTCCAGAAAGTGACCCTTCCTCCATCAGAATAGTGGATTTTGTCTGTGGAGCATCTGCTTCTCGTCTGAAAAGGCTTTTCTGCTCGAGCTCATGAACCGATCCCATCTGTCACATTAGTAATCATACTCAATAACCACTCAAAACCTCCATTTTTCAGAGATATCAGAGGGTACGCTACAGGTAAATTGACTTACTTCAACCTGAGATTGAACAAGAGCCGGTATGTTGCAACAATTCATTGACTTGGGCTAGCAAAACATGGACCAACAATGCACTACAGTGTTCTCTGCTGCTGCTGCAACCTGAACAAGGAGAAGCTTCTAGAAAGAGAACCCCATTACCATAATCACAGTCACCCAACATAAAATTTTCATCTCCTAAGTTACAGAATACATCATGACATTGCCACTGCAAATTACTTGAAACAACTTGAGATTTCATGGAAATTTAGCTCAAACTAATTACTTCTCATTTCTCATTGGGGGAACAATCATCAACAGCACTGTATTATTCTATACAGAACCATAAACTCCAATCCGACACATTGGCAACCAAAGAAGAACATTTTGAATCCAAACCAAAGTTGTCTGATTCAACTTAAAAAATGGTAACCCTTGAGTTTTAACTTTCCGGGAAATCAGCCAAACTATGTGAGTCGTAATTAACCGCAGCATTACCGTACTCTACACAGAACTATAAAACCTAATCCAGAAAAAACGGAGAGAAGGGCAAAGAATCCAGATCAAAGTTTCTTCTGATTGAACTACAAAGATCGCTTCAAGAAAAAAGGGGGCAGATTTCTTGATTCAAAACGTTGCCCGCCAACCCAAATCGTGAGAGGGAGACCACGAGGCAGAGTAAATCGAGCTATTTCACGCGAATCAAAAGGGACAATGAAAAGGGCAAGAAAGCTCAAAACCTTACCTCACAGTCAAAGATGGGCCAGTGAACAAGATTCGAACAAGTTGCATAAATCAAATCCTGCGTAAATCAGATAGAAACACCCAGAACCACTTGGACGTTTCTTCTTCTTCTTC